TTCATATCCTCTCCCCCCCTTCCTGTACTGTTCTGCAGTCACTGATCCCAGCGGTAGTATGCAGATAAGGGGGTTCAGACTTCCCTTGCGGGCATGTATGTTATAGGTCATGTGTGTCATGCTTCATGTATGTTTGGTGTCAGTGGAGCAGAAAGCACTGAAGCCAGTCGGGTAGTATTTTTGAATGGGAGGTCAGCAGTGGCAGCCTCCATGTTTCTGGCAGTCTGGACGTCCTTTCATTTTGATCTATTTGCAGAAATCGGGCACCAGGGAGTTCACAGTGAAGGGCAGCGGCACGCCTGAGCCGATTCAGCTGAACCTGAATGAGTGCAGTATGCCGCCAACACCCGGAACCCCCAGCACGCCGACTACACCAGCGCTTCCAGCAATGCCAATGTCCCCCACATCTGCTGCAGTCAGTAAGATTCTCCCCGGCAATATTCCAGAGTCCCCGAAATCCAGTCCAGGGTAAGAAATCTCGAGTCGAAGATTCTCATTTTTTTTAAATCTGATTTTGCCACAAAAACTAACGGCGCGTCTTTTGTGCCCGCAGCGTTCTGTTGGTGTCCCCGACCACCATGCCTCAGCTCAGCACTCTGCTGGCTCCGTCTGTGACCAGTCAGGTGACCACTGTGACCCCAACCCCCATCAGAAACGCAGCGCTGTCCTCGTCCCTTCCAATCCCTCAAGTACGGATCGTGACGGCTTCTGCCGCCATTCCGACCGCTCCCCCGCCCGCCATCGTCACCCAGTCTCTTTCTCCGGTCGTATCGCACATCAGGGTGCCCATCACAACGTCCACCACTAAAGGACTGGCCCAGGTAGGGGGGAGAAATGCCCAGCTGACTGATGATAGGGGGGGGGAAGGGGGGTAATTATCTCTGCTGGTTTATAATATGTCTTTCTTTCCCCAGATGCTGACTATGCCAGTGAAGACGCAGCCGACTGCCGGTGCCCCGCGCCCGACCATCACCGTGACCAGTTCAGGAACCATTGCTGTGACTGCCCTGAACGCCTCTACAATGGTCACTTCCAAACCAGTGGTCAGTTCTCCTGCAAGTTCCACGCCTACAATCCTGCAGAGCATCACGGGGCAAAACATCATAAAACAGGTGACCCATGGAGGAAAAGCCGCCGTTTAACTTTTTATTTGTGTCGGGGGGTGCCCGGGCACAGTGTTATATCGGGGGGGTGCAGGGGCACTGTGATGTCGGGTCTGTGTGATGTCAGGAGGTGTGGGGGCACTGTGTGATGATGTCAGGAGGTGCGGGGCACTGTGTGATGATGAGGGGGGCACTGTGTGATGTCGGGGGGAGGGGGTGCGGGGCCACTGTGTGGTGTCAGACATACCCCACACCATCAGTGTGGCCCCCAAATCCAGAGATTCTCTGTGAATGAACATCAAAGCTGAACCACCTCACCGGCCTTTCTGTTCCTCCCCACCAGGTGGCGCTATCCGGACAGCTCGGCGTGAAGACTCAGCCTGCGCTCCCGACCACCAATCTGCGCATACAAGGAAAGGACGTTCTGCGTCTTCCCCCGTCCTCCATCACCACCGACGCCAAGGGTCAGACCATACTGCGGATCACCCCCGACATGATGGCCACGTTGGCCAAATCCCAAGTCACGGCCGTGAAGCTGTCGCAGGAACTTTTCTCAGCTGCGTCGTCCAGCGGTCCTGGCAAGGGACTATTGCATGTGACCTCCGGCCCGTCGTCCCCTTCCCCCCCGGCACCAGCGACCATCAAGGTGACACCGGAAGTGAAGGTAGCCGAGCCCAGCGGCTCCGGGTTCAGGCTGATGCCCGCTCTCGGCGTTTCTGTAGCCGACCAGAAACTGAAAACCACCGCGGCCGGCGAGGCCAAGCCGGGGGCCACCATACGCATTGTGCAGGGACTGGGCGTTGTGCCGCCTAAGGTGGCAACTACACAGAGTATCACAGTGACTGCTAAGCCCGTGGCCCCTTCTGCCCTGGTCAGCTCTGTTCATACGGCCTCCACCATCGGCCTCTCGCCCGTCACAAACTCTGGCAACAAAGCGGTCATGGCCGCGGGCGTGACCATGGGGGCCACAACGGCCACCGTACGGCAGATCCCTGTCACTGCAGCTCAGCAGGTGAGATGTGTGTGTTCAGATGGAGAGCCAGGCTGGGGCCCCGAGCTGTGTGTACAGAGAGCTCTGATGGGGCCCCGAGCTGTGTGTTCAGATAGAGAGCCAGGCTGGGGGCCCGAGCTGTGTGTACAGAGAGCTCTGATGGGGCCCAAAGCTGTATGTGTACAGATACCTCTGATGGGGCCCCGAGCTGTGTGTACAGAGAGCTCTGATGGGGCCCCGAGCTGTGTGTACAGAGAGCTCTGATGGGGCCCCGAGCTGTGTGTACAGAGAGCTCTGATGGGGCCCCGAGCTGTGTGTACAGAGAGCTCTGATGGGGCCCCGAGCTGTGTGTACAGAGAGCTCTGATGGGGCCCCGAGCTGTGTGTACAGAGACCTCTGATGGGGCCCCGAGCTGTGTGTACAGAGACCTCTGATGGGGCCCCGAGCTGTGTGTACAGAGACCTCTGATGGGGCCCGAGCTGTGTGTACAGAGACCTCTGATGGGGCCCGAGCTTCCTTACTGCAGTGTTGTGGAACAGCCGTGTCACCTCTCCATTCCCAGCCTGTGATTGGGCAGTGAGGGGAGCTGAAGCAGATGGATGTGGTCTCTCTGTTCTCTCCTCCTGTCAGCATGCAGTAGAGCCTGCCTGGCTTTGTGCTGCACTAGTTCTGTACAGGAAGGATTACCGGAAGCTAATATGAAGTGACATTCGGGTATTTCTATTATTTACATTGAATACAATAATGTTCTGATAATGTAACTGTGTTCTGGGTTAGAACTCGAAGCAGATCTAAGAAACGCAAATTCATTCTACTCTGCAGAGCTCGGACTGGGAGAGGGAGAAGCAGCACGAGGAACCCATCAGTTGTGCTGCAGTGCTCATGTACTATCACAAAGCATGCTGATAGGAGGAGAGAGCAAGGGAGAATAGCTTATCAGTCTCCTTTACTGTCCAATCACAGGCTGGGGGCGGGACCAGACCCGTGACATTACATTTTGCTGTATACAGAAAGAAGTCGGGCAGCGGCTGCATGTGGTGTGCTCTGTGTGCCAGGATCTGTCTTAACCAGGAACGTTTTCTGCTGTGGAACTACAAGTCACAGCCTGCAGTTCCTAACTGTGGTCTATGCTGGGAGTAGTAGTCTCTCGGTGGGGGTTGTAGTTCCGCGTTAATAACGTCCCTATGAATCTCCCTCCTCAGGGTAAAGTGCCGGCCCGGATCACGGTGCCGCTGTCGGTCCTCAGTCAGCCGGTGAAGGGGAAGAGCGTTGTGACCGCGCCCATCATCAAGGGGAACCTTAGATTGGCCCCTATATGTGTCCAGGTGACCATTGTCAGCGGAACAGAAAGTGACGGGAATATCTCAAATCTTCCACTGGGGATATCGGCTTAGACTCACTTCCTGTTGTCTCCGTGGGACAGGAAGTGAAGGACAATCTTCCACTGGAAGGAAAACAAACCCCACACAGGGCTATGCGACCCTTTCATATTGTATACAAGCCAACAGAATTTGGCTTTAGATGCTTTACATGGGCAGCTTGGTTGCTATGGGAAACGGGTTCCCTCCCAGTTTTTCATAACTCCGCCCCATTCTAATGCTTTGTCCTGACGCGTCTCCTCCTCTCTCCAGTATAAGCGGTCTGGGACGTAATATCATTCTGACCACGGTGCCGGCGGGGACCAAACTCATCGCCGGAAACAAACCCGTCAGCTTCCTGACAGCACAGCAACTGCAGCAGCTCCAACAGCAGGGCCAGGCCACACAGGTATGAGGGGAGGAGCCTAATAGACAGGCCACACAGGTATGAGGGGAGGGGCCTAATAGAGAGGCCACACAGGTATGAGGGCAGATTATTAGGGGTGTCGGCCGTCACACGGGCAGATTATTAGGGGTGTTAGCCGTCACACGGGCAGATTTTTAGGGGTGTCAGCCGTCACACGGGCAGATTATTGGGGGTGTCAGCCGTCACATGGGCAGATTATTAGGGGTGTCAGGCATCACACGGGCAGATTATTGGGAGTGTCAGCCGTCACACGGGCAGATTATTGGGGGTGTCAGCTGTCACACGGGCAGATTATTAGGGGTGTCGGCCGTCACACGGGCAGATTATTAGGGGTGTCAGCCGTCATACGGGCAGATTATTGGGGGTGTCAGCCGTCACACGGGCAGATTATTGGGGGTGTCAGCCGTCACAGGGGCAGATTATTAGGGGTGTCAGCCGTAACAGGGGCAGATTATTGGGGGTGTCAGCCGTCACACGGGCAGATTATTGGGGGTGTCGGCCGTCACACGGGCAGATTATTAGGGGTGTCGGCCGTCAATAAAAATGTCCATTTGTCCTCCGCAGGTGCGAATACAGACAGTCCCGGCCTCCCACCTGCAAGCCGCGGCCTCCTCCTCGGCGACCTCTAAGGCCATGTCCACGGTTGTAGTCACCACGAACCCTCCCACTAAACCAGCAATGGACCCCCAGTGACCTCTGAACTCTTGTGTGAGGACTTCCCGTCCGGTCATCGTGTTTATTACCACCACCCCGGGAAAGATTTCCAAGCCGGACGAAGGCAGTCATGGAAGAATTGAGCAGGTCCTCTCATTGTGCTCTTGTGTAAAGATTGCCGCTGACTTCCCGTGTGATCTTCATTGTTGTTTTTTTTATGCTGATGAAGCAAACGGGAAAGTAATTAATATATATGGATTTTCGCTCTCCCGCGTTCCCCCTTCTCCGTGCCCGGCGCTCTCCCATTTGCACCCCTCCCCCAGGCCAATCCCACGGACAATCCCCTTCCACTCTGTGGGATTTAAATCTCGTTCTTCCACTGCTTCAGCGTCCAGTTCACCTAGAGGAAGGTTCCGGATGGGATGGATGGGGTTTGGGCTGAGCGAGTCAATGTTTCACCCACTGCTTCTTTCAGGAAGACGGATTTCCTTTTCGTCGTCTCGGAAATGGCGTCCGGCCTTTCTTTCCACCGTGTCTGGGTGCCTCAGACAGACCCATGTTCAGTCTTAGGGATTGGGTTCCCCCCTCTCCTGTTCGGACTCGCTCCGCTAGGGCACTGAACCCCTTTGGGTCTCTGTTGCCCAGATCTGTAAGGCTGCCCCCCCCCACCTCTCTGCCTTCTGAACCCACATTCATTGTTCTACCAGGTGGACATTTCTGCCTCATCTCATCCCAGCTTCCAGCCTTAGCTTCTTCCCGGGGACCTCTGAGCAGCAGGCTCCGCCCCCATTACTTCTGGTTTACGTTGGGCCCGTTGGCAGTGGTTTGCTGTGTTGCACGACTATCAGTGGCACTTCTTTTGGGCGTCCGGAAGGTTTGAGGCTTCCTTCCTGACAAAGGGTTAAAGATCTGGAAGCATTGTATGTTAATGAGAGGAAGTTCAGTCTGTCCCCGGTGTGTATGGGGACAGCGAGAGTTTCCTGTCACTTGGAAATTGAGAAACTACAACTACAGAGACATCTGAAAGGTGAGAAATACTTTATTAATAAGTGTTAGGCGTGCTGAGTATAGAACACGTATGTAGAGGGGTTGTCTCACATGTCGCTGCAACAGTGGAAATTCACTTTAAAGTCACATTTTCCCCTCGCGCCACATTTCTGTCCCGCTGACCTGACGCATAAAAACCGCCGCGTGACATCACTGGAGGAGATACAGATGACGGCCTTTCAGGAATGGTGTCCAGCAACTTTAATGATCACATGACCGCGATGATGGCCGACGGTCCGCTCTGTGCTACTCCTCATCCAACGCCGCTAGAAGGTGAACTCTCGATTCCTCGGGAGCAGATCCGAGCTTCTGGAACTTGATCCTTTCCACATCCGGCGCGTTTCATCGTACACCTGCAATTTGTTTACCGTTACCATCAGATTTACTAGAATGAG